ACTAACAATGCACAAACACCAGAAGAGAAACTAGATAACTGGGAGCTCCTAAAAATCAATCACTAGGCTCATGAAAAGACTTCACCAAAAGAGTAAAAAGACAATGTACAGACTGGGAAAAAATTTTTGGCTACAACATATCCGATCAGGGTCTAATCTCTAAAATCTACAAGATACTGCAAAACCTCAACAACAAAAAGACCAATAACCCAATTAAAAAATGGGCAAAGGATATGAACAGGCACTTCACCAAAGAAGACATTCAGGCAGCTAAAAGACACAGGAGGAAATGCTCACTATCATTAGCCATTTGAGAAATGCAAATGAAAATTACAATGAGTTACCATCTCACCCCAACAAGGCTAGCATTAATCCAAAAAACAAAATAATAAATGTTGGAGAGGTTGTGGAGAGAGTGGAACACTTATACACTGTTGGTGGGAATGTAAAATGGTACAACCACTTTGGAAATCGATTCGGCATTTCCTTAAAAAGCTAGAAATAGAAGTATCATACCATCCAGCAACCTAGCTCTTTGGAATATATTCCAGAGAAATAAGAACCATCACACGAATAGATACATGCACACCCATGTTCACTGCATCACTGTTTATGATAGCAACAAGATGGAAACAACCTAGGTGCCCATCAAAGGATGAATGGATAAATTATGGTATATTCACCCAATGGAATACTATGCAACGATAAAGAATTATGATGAATCCATGAAGTATAACACGGAGGAATCTGGAAGGCATTAGGCTGAGTGAATTAAGTCAGTCACAAAAGGACAAATAATGTATAAGACCACTATTATAAGAACTCAAGAAAAGGTTTAAACACAGAAGAAAACATTCTTTGATGGTTACGAGGGTGGGGAAGGAGGGAGAGGGCTATTCACTAACTAGATAGTAGACAAGAATTATCTTAGGTGAAGGGAAGGACAACACACACTACAGTGGAAGTGAGCACAACAGGACTAAACCAAAGCTAAGAAGTTTCCTGAATACAACCAAACACTTCAAGAGACAGACAGCAGGGGCAGGGGTCTGGGGACTATGGTTTCAGGGGACATCTGGGTCAATTGTTGTGATGGTTAAGATTGTGTGTCAACTTGGCTGGGCCATGATTCTTAGTGTTTATATGTGATCACTCCCATGATTGAATATGCTGTGAGTAGCCAATCAGATGAAAGGGAGTTTCTTTGGGGGTGTGGCCTGCATCTGAATATAAGCAGACGTTCTGGCTTTTTGCTCACTCTGGATCCTGCGGCTGCCTTCGGTCGTCTCACCTCTGGTTCTTGGGACTTGAGCTGTCAGCTTATCTGCCAAACTTGGGATTGGTCAATCTTTACAGCCTGTGAGCGGAGCCCTGCTCTCTGACCTGCTGATCTTGGGTTCGCAAGCCTCTGCAGTTACGTAGATCAGGAGAAACCTTGCCATTTTGCCTGCCGATCTTGGAATTTGTCAACCTTCACAGCCTGTGAGTGGAAGCCCTGCTCTCTGACCTGCCAATCTCGCCAGCTTCTGGGGCTCCATGAATTGGGAAAGGCCTCTACCCTGATCCACAGACTTGGGATGGTCTAGCCTCTATAATCGCATGAGCTGTTTCCTTGATATAAATCTCTCTATATATTTATATGCTTTACTGATTTTGCTTCTCTAGAGAAGCCAGCCTAAGACAATTGGCATAACAAAGTTTATTAAGAAAATGTTGTGCATCTCACTTTGATGAGTGACGTCTGGGGTCTTAAAAGCTAGTGAGCGGCCATCTAAGATGCATCAATTGGTCCCAACCCACCTGGAGCAAAGGAGAATGAGGAACACCAAAGACACAAGGAAAGTATTAGCCCAAGAGACAGAAAGGGTCACATAAACCAGAGACTCCATCAGCTTGAGACCAGAAGAACTAGATGGTGCCCAGCTACCACCAATGACTGTCCTGACAGGAAACACAACAGGGAGTCCCTGACGGAGCAGGAGAAAAGTAGGACGCAGAACTCAAATCCACGTAAAAAGACCAGACTTAATGGTTTGACTGAGACTGGAGGGACCCCGGAAGACATGGCCCTGGACTCTCTGTTGGCCCAGAACTAAAACCATTCCCGAGGCCAACTCTTCAGACAAAGATTAGACTGGACTATGGGACATAAAATGATACTCGTGAAGAGTGTGTTTCTTAGCTCAAGTAGATACATGAGACTAAATGAGCAGCTCCTGTCTGGAGGCGAGATGAGAAGGCAGAGAGGGTCAAGGGCTGGTTGAATGAACACGGGAAATCTGGAGTGGAAAGGAGGAGTGTGCTGTCACAGTATAGGGGAGCAACTAGGGTCACATAACAATGTGTGTATAAATTTTTGTATGAGAAACTAACTTGAATTGTAAACTTTCACTTAAAGCACAATAAAGAAATAAGAAAGAAAAAGATTGGCAAATTGTTCATAATTGTTCAAAGTGGGTGATGGGTATGTGGGAGTTTATTATACTATTCCAAGTCCTTTTGTGTATTTTTGAGAATTTCCATAACACAAAGTCAAAAAGGGAAAAAAGGAGAACTGGTACCATCTAAAGGTGCGTTGCCAGCCGCTGATGCAACACTAGAGGGAAATTTGGTCTCGGTGTTCTGTGTATACATACCTTAGGGAGAGGAGCAGAAGCGGGGCTTAGTTTAAGAAGTCACAATGTGTGCACTGGGGGCCATAAGCACAGAGTTAGCCTAGTGGGTCCCAGAGCTGGCTGCCCACTGAATCACCTGGGAGCCTGAGCCCCAGCACCAGTGTCTCACTCAACTGGTCTGGGATGGGACTCAGACACCTGTATTGCTTTAAGCTTCCCAGGTGTCTATAATGTACAGCCAGGTTTAAAAAGCAGAGCTCTTGTCTTTCTCCCTCCTTCTATAGATGGTGACACTAAGGCTCAGGAAACACCCTGAGTCAGTGGCATCCTGGGAAGTGGAACCTCAGCCTCCTGGCTCCAGCCCAGGCCCTTTCTGCCACACCATGCTCTCACAGATGAGAACATCAGTAGGTGAAGCTCAGGAGCAAGAGCTCTGCGGGCCAGCCGGCCTGGGTTCCAATCCCCATTCTGCCTCTTGGAGGAATGCCCCAGTGGCCAGGTTACTTTACCTCTCTAAGTCTCTCTTCCCTTACCTGTCAAATGGAGATCATTCACCTTACACCAGAGAATGTGGGTGTGATCAAATTAGACAAATTTGGAGCATAGAGTGCTTAATAAACATCAGCTCACAAACAGCTTATTTCCTGTTCCATTTTGACTGTCAATTCCTTGGGGACAGGAACTAGGTCATATTCATTTCTATCTCCAAGTGGCTGGACTGAGGACCCTGAATGGATGCCCTACTTTGTGAATTCCTTGGGGGCAGGAACTAGGTCACATTCATTTCTATCTCCAAGCATCTGGACTGAGAGCTTGAGTTGATGTGTTGAATCAATGAATGAATCAACAAATGCACGGACCACTCTAAATAACGAGTCAGTAAGAAAATGAAACAGACACAACACTTGACAACCACTGGGCCACTAGAAGAGGCCCTTGAGCAATGGGCATTTGGGAATCTCGCTCTCAGACCTCCTGTGCCACAGCCTCTTCCCTCACTGGTCAGTCCTGGAGCCCTGTGGTTGACAGACCACATGCCAGTAGCTTGAGTCATGGCTTTCAAAGTGTACGTGACCAAGTGTTACTCGGGGACCTGACGGGCCCACGCTGGTCACCAATGGAATGTTTTCCTTCAAAAATATTCAGATTTGAAGAGCAATTCCATTCCCCTAGTCACACAAGCCCATGCTGAGGACCAGTCCTGGGTTTCCTACTTTTGAAAGACAAAGTCACAGCACTCATTGTGGTGACCACCCCAGTGTGTGTGAGCTTTCCAAACTGCCCTCCACGCATTCTGTAACTGGACTTCACAGCTGCCCTCCTTTATAGATGAGGAAACTGAGGCCCAGGGCAATGGAAGGATCTGCTTCAGGTCATTCAGCTGTAGCCGAGAATCACAGAAACTCATATGTAGTGGTCCCCTCTCCCCAAACACCTCTGATGCTCTGATTCCCTCTACAATCCCCGCCAAGTCCTATCTGCTTTCACACTTCCGGGATGGGGATCTCAGGACATTTGAGATGGACCCTGCATCTTTGGACAGTCTTCCTGCTAGAACGTTCTCATTCCAATTAAAGAAGTGGGAATTTGGGAAATGAAGTCAGGTCTCCTGGAATTTTACCTCTTGCTTTTTCCTCTACAAATTGAGTGTTCTCCTGGTCAGAGGCCCTCAAAACGCCCAAATTCAGCCCTTTGCAAGCCAAAATGAAAGCCCACCTCCAAGAAAGCCAGGGCAGGCCCCATCCATGATTCTGGCCTTTCTTTCTCACCTCCCCCGCCCCGTAAGATTTGCCAAGTCAAATCCTTACGCCACTTACTGGACTGACTGCTCTTTCAGGAGCCGCTGTGGGTATGGGGAGCGGCGGCCCACCAGGGGGAGCACTGCCAGACTCTTCTCCCCAAGCCATGGTAAGGGGTTCCTCTCTTGCTGCTGATAAATCGTCTTCATCGTCAGGACCCTGGAAACAAGACCAGCACGAGGAATAGGTCACCTTCCCCAGGATGCAACTTGTGCACGGCTGCCAAACCCAAACCCATTGCCCTCAAGTCAACTCCAACTCATAGCTGCCAAGGACTTTTCATAATTGTCATTTCTATGACACTAGCCCAATTTCAAAGCACTTCCTACTGCAGCTTCTTTACCCCCAGCACGTTTACAGACTCACACATCTCCTCCAAGACATGCTTCCCATACCCAGTGATGCCGAGCTCACAGCCTCCCCAACAGCCCCTTCCAGCATTGGGCCGCCCTGCCTCTGGGGAAGTTCTTCTTGGACGAAGTTAGGAGGAAGCAGGTTAGGACAAAAGCCAACCCCTGACTTCCTCTGTCCTGCTCTGTCCATCACATCCTGCTGTCCTGAAGGTGGGGCTACCCAGGTATGCACCCATCACGAAACTAAGTGTTCGCCTGCCTCTGGGAAGGCCAGTAACTGCTCCGTCCCGTGGTTCCGACCTCTCTCTCCTCTGTGAGCCAGGATGAAGCAGAGATGGCACTAGGTGACACTTACTGAAGCGTTCCCTTGTCCAAGGGCCGCTGTGGGTGTGAGGAAGGCCAGCCTATCTGTGGGGGCCCTGCTGGTCTCCTCCTCCTCAGCAGTGCTGAGTGGCGCTTCTATTGTAGCTGCTGCTGTTGTCCAACTTTCCTCACCATTTGGACCCTGAAACAAAATTGGCATGTGGATCGTGCCATTTCACCCACTTCCCTAGGCTAGTGGGTGTGGGGCTGCAGGGAGGACACTGCTGGGGCCACAAGGTAACTGGCATCTTCATAGCTCCCCTTTCACTGCTCATCTAAGACCACGTCTCAGCCCCACATACTCCCGGAAGCCCAGGGTTAGAATGCACCTCTCAGGTCATCCCTTCCGACCACCCCCCAGCCTCCTCTGGCACATCTCTGCCAAGTGCCCATCTGGCCTTCGCTTGCACAGCTCCAGAAGCTGGGAGCTCAGCACTTCCACAGGCAGCCCTTCCATTTTCAGACAGCTGCTGGTCAAGTGCTGCTTTCTACTAAGCTAAGACTTGGTGGAACTGGGACCTGGTTTTCTCACCCTGTGAGGAGTGATTTGCCTTTAAAGAAGAAGGAGGATAGGGGAGGGGGAGGAGGGCGAGGAGGAAGAAGAGTAGAAGGGGGAGGAAGAAGACGATCATGAGGATGATGACGATGACGATGACAAGGAACACAATGATGCAGATGACGACAGTAACCATTTTGCTAACTGAAATAACCCACGTAAGTGCCAAGTGGCCTGGAGAGCTCTGTGGGCTGGACGCTCTGTCAGGTGTGCCACTCCCACTGTAAAGTTTCCCCAAATGAGCAATGGATCAGAGGTGGAAGGCTGCCTGGCCAGTGCCAGCCAGGCCAGGGGAGCAAGAGTGTGAACAATCGTAAAGGTCAGTGTTGTTGACCTGCCATGGCCCAATAACCCACCTCCATTCATTTGCTCAGAAAATATTCATTAAGCACCTGCCATTTGCCAGGGATGAAGGCCAGTGGCTGCTGCCAGCCACGACCTCAACCTTCCAGCCCTTGATGCTGCTTACCAGAGTGGCCTCTTCCCCCAGGTTCTCTGTGGATGTGGAGAGAGCCAGCCCCTGGGTGGGCACACTCCCAACCTCTGCTTCCCCAGCACTGCTGACAGACAACTCAGTCTCCCCTGCTACTGTTGCTGTTAAACTTTCTTCATTATCTGGACCCTGAAAGGAAAGACACCACAAGGGACTGCATCACTGGACCCAGCACCCTGATTCAGTGTGCCTGTGGCTGGGGGGAGCAGACTGCACCCTGTCGCTCCCTCACCTTCAAAGCACTTGCATATCCAAGCCCTCGCCTTGCACTGTTGTCCCAATGTGGCATCAATACAGAGACTGGGACTCTCGGACACCACCCAGGGTGTGAGTCCCTCTCCAGCACCCCACCAGAGTGGTTCACCCAGCTCCTACCTCCAACCTGTGGCACTCACCAGCAGCCCCTTCCAACTTCTGTCCATACTCCTGAGAGTGGGGCTTCTCCGGAGTGCCTAACCCCGTGTGCTGGGACAAAACCCAGGTCCTTGGACTTAGCAGCTTTCTTTTTGGGAGTTGTCTATGCTCACTGACCACTTGCTCACCTCACCCTCTCTCCAGCCCAGTGCAATCGGGCTTCTACCCCTCTCACATTGCTAAAGTTACTCTCCCCAAGGTCACTGATAGTCAAGTTTATAAATCCAATGGACACTTTCCAGTCCTAACTCACTGGCACTTTGGCAGCATCTGACGCTGTTGACCACACTCTTTATTGTTGCTGTTAGGTGCCGTTGAGTAGATTTCAACTCACAGCGACCCCATGTAACAGAGTAGAACTGCCCCCTAGGGTTTTCTAGGCTGTAATCATTATGGGAGCAGAACGTTCACACACAGCAGTGTGTGCTGAACTTCTATAGGTCTTCATAGGGTCATCTTTATGCCCTCAGGACTTTGCTCCTGCTGGTCCACCTGCCTCCACACCCCCATCCTGAAGCTCCTCCTCGTGGTCTCACCTGTGGCATCCTTTCCGAGGGCTTCTTTGCCCCCGGGGCTGGGTCATGGGCCCCTTTTTCTGTGTTCCCAGAGCATCCTGTTGCCCCACTTGCCACTCTGACCCCAGGAGCCTCATCTAATCTATTTACCATCCACCTCTGTGAGCCGGCCTGGTGCTCAGCACAGTGAGTCAATCTGTTCCTCTGCCTCCCTGCTCAGTGTCCACTTGGACTTGAGCCCACAGAGGCTCTCATCTGCATAGTGCAGACAGATGAGGAAGGCAGTGACAGCTCCCACTCGAGAGTCATCCTCACCCCCCACCCGGAAAGCAGAGGAAGTGGAGTGTGCACTCTGTGTACTTACTGGAGTGACCCACTCCTCAGGCTTCTCGGTGGACATGGAAAGGGTCGGCCCCTCGGTGAGCACACTGCTGGCCTCTGCTTCCCATGTAGTGTTGACAGGCCCCTCAGCCTCCCCGGCTGCTGCTGTTGCTGCTAAACCTTCAGTATGTGGACCCTGAAAACAAAGCCATCACGAGAGACGACATCACTGAGCCCACAGCCCTGATAAACGCGTCTGTGCTGAAGAGAACAGACTGTTGGGGTGCCTCCAGCAACTTGTATTTCTGTAGTTGCTTAAGCTCAAAGCACTTTCACATCTGTGACTTCACCTTTGCCCCACAACAGCACAGAATCACAGGGACAGGAAAGACCGCCAAGGCACCTATGTCTGGTGTTTTGACTTCAAGCCTCTGTTTGCACACCACAGTGACAGGGAGATCACTGCCTCCTGAGTCAGCCTGTGCCAGGACTAGACCTTTCTACCAGAAAATTTGTCTCCACACTGAGCTTCCGTCTGTCTCCCTCTGGCCTCCTCTAAGTGCCCATCCAGAGCTGTAACAGCCAGTCAAATGTTTTTGCCCATGACAGTGCGTCCGATGGGCAGGCAGCAATTCCGACCCTCAGCCCTCTCCAGACAGGAAACCAGTGCTTCCTCTCTTTCCCTGTGACTCAGTTTCCTTTGAGAAATGCACAGACAGATTCTCTGAAGGTTACATAGCAAATGAGAAAATGGAAACAGAACAGCTTTGCCTACTGGTGTCAACAAACTTTATCTATTTCCCAAAGTGTTTTTGTTGTTTGTTTGTTAGGTTTGTTCTTGTTGCAAAAAGTAGCTCCTTTGGATACTAAAAAGACACTAGGCTTATGGTCAGACAGATGTCCTTGCTGCAGGACTCCTCCAAGCCTTTAATAAGGAGACTACAGAGTGGAGTACTTCTCACACTTATCTGACCACAGAATCCATTTTTCCCCCATGTAGCATATTAAGTCCTTGTGGAATTATTGTCCCAAAAAACACGGAAAAGATGAATTAAAATGAGACTCTTCCCGACTCTACTTCAGTTAAAACCCCAAAGGGCAAGTACAATCCAATAAGCATCCTGTAACCCCCACGTCCTGAAACAAGGAGCCAGACCACTGATGTGGGACACACTGAAAGACAATGAGATCAGATCTACCAGCATTTGTCCACCACCTACACCCATGCTGTATAAGAAAAGGTAAAGAATTCATCGGACGATTGAGTGACGGGAGAGTAAGAACATCTCTGGAGAAAATCTTCAGCATGCTGTGGCTTTTCCCTCCCCTCCCCTCCACTACAAACCATTTGGTGAGCCCGATATATATTCTTTGGAATTTGGGAGACATAGGGACTGGTGTCTGACTCTCTCCAGGGAAAGACAAAAGGTGAAAGCAGGGAGCCACCCAGACCCAGAGCTAAGAGACAGAGCAGTCTGTCATGCAGTCATTTTACCGGAATAGACAAGACATGGCTCCTCCAAAGAGAGCAGCTAAAGCTATCTTGAAATGCGCTTTGCCCCAAATGACCATCTAGCCATCTAGAGGGTCACGGCCACCAATAGCAAGGCGGCTGTTTAACTTAAGAAGTTACAAGCCCAACAATGGAACTGTAATCCTACATCCTCTGCAGGAGGACCTCCAAGGAGTCACAAAAGCTCCCATGAGAGAAAGTTCTAGCAGTCAGGCATCTTTCACACAAAAGGGCCAGATCACAATTTAACCAGCCAGGTAAAACTTAGCCTTTTCCCCTTGATCTCTCCCTAGGTGAGCAAGCCCCTGCCTATGTTAAAAACTGCTGCTGTGGGGGGGGGGGCATGGGGAGAGGAGAAAGAAGCAAGAAATGAGAGAGGAAACCCCTGACTATGCTTCCCTTCCCTGCTGTAGGTTGCTGGCCTGCCTCAGGCCTGAATATGGAAGGGGAGGAGCTGTATTTGTATTTTTGTTGAATTTCTGATATTATACTGGACTCGGCTGGACTTCTAAAATACTTGTGAAAATAGACTGTTACCTGATAGTGACCAGCAGAGCTATGAGAACTGAGTTTCCATCACAGGATAGGGAAAGAATGAGCTGACACTGTGGGTTGTTAGCAATGGCCACTGTGAGAAAAATACATTTGCTTGAATTTTGCACCCCACTGTGTCCAGCATTTCAAAAATTGGCTTTGCAGGTGTCAGAGCCAATTAACAAACAATACAGCAGGCATACCTGTAGTTAATCTGATTCTGAATTGAAGGGGCTCAAAGGGCTGAAGAAGCTGTGGTGGTAACCTGGGAGAAGAGAGAAGGGCCCCTGGGCAGTTGTGAGGACCAGCTTGAGCTGCCTCTCCTTCTCCTGTCCTGGACATCCCTGGAGAGCCTCCAGGCCCCTGGGACTCCTCACCTTCTCTGTACCATGAGGAAGGAGGCAGCCTCCATACCATTCAACTAAAACCCTCCTGGCTCTCTAGGGTACCCAATAAAAGTCACCATTAAGTTTGAAATAAGCAAACAAATTTACTACTGATTAAGCAACTGAAATTCACCATTCACTCACCTTTTCTTCCATGACACCAAGGAAGTCCCCATCCCCTGAGCCACTGCCTGTTATGGGATCACCATCTACAGTGTGAACCTCCTCTGATGTGACATCCAGGATCTCCCCAGACCCTACAGGAAGCAGGCATTCTGTAGTTAATCGCTACAGTTTGCAGTCTTGAAAAAGAATGAAGTATCTCTTTACCTATTGACTTGGAAACATGTCCATCATACAGGATTAAGAGGGCAGGGGTGGCGGTGGGGGGCGGACAAGTTGCAGAAAAACACCCTGTAGAAAGGTAGTATAGCTGGCAGTTCAGACCACGAGCTCTGGCCCCAGCTTCAGGGCCTGAATCCCACTGTGCCACTTCTGAGGAACATGACCTGCGGCAAGTCACTTAACCTATGCTTCAGCTTCCTCATCTATACAAGAATAATAACGACTCCCACCTCTCAGGGGTGTGATGATGATTGTGTATTACAAGGATTAAACAGGTTAATACAGAAAAAGCCTGAAGGACAGTCCCTGGCATGTAGTAAGCAATGGATGAATGTTAATTAACTATTTTTGTCAGTGTGGTTCTCTATATGAGCGTACATGAGTTATTATATGTAATCTAGTATCTATATGCAACAATGCTTAACCATCCATTTCCTCCCCCAAAGGCTAGGAGTGGAGAAAGTAGAGGAAACTATTATTTTTTGGCTCAGACAACTGTGCATTGATTGAATTTTTACTACAAGCAAATATTTCTTTTGCAGCTTAACAAACTGTGGAGTCCTAAAGCAAAGAAAAGGAAAGCATACTCACACAAATGCAGGCCTGTTATGGGTTAGGCCCTGTGCTAAGCCTGTTCCACGCACTTTTTCATTTAATCCTCCCACTAGGCCATCCATCCCACCCGCAAGAACTCATCTGACCACCTCACTGCCAGTGGGGCAAGAGCCAGGATGGGAATCCCATATTTTTAGCCAACACACTGTCACCACACAGCATGTGATCTGCACGTTAACACATTATTACTATTAACCCCATTTTGCCGAGGAATGAAGTCCCACAGAGAGTAAGTGGCTAGGAGGAGCCCTGAAGCCAGGCCAACCTGTCCCGATTCTGGGCACTCTCCATGCATGCCATGCTCAGGCTTGTCCCACAGTAAGAACAGCATCTGGGGGAGGGTGCTGAACTCTGCAAGGGACCCTGCACCCTCATGCACTCTTGAATAACTGAATGCCCAGGAGTGGTCAGAACCCTCACCAGTCACTCTCGTCCTCCCTGCTCTGACCACCAGGGGGTACTGTGCAAGCAGCCAGCGGCACCCCGGCCTCTGAGTCCACATCCTTTGGAGCATGGAGGTGGAGGAGCATGTCGCTGGTGTCAGGGAAGCTTGGGGTAAAAACATTAGGGGCTTTCCCTAGCCAGAGGCAGGGCTCAGGGATCGGTTGTTTCCGCTCGGCCTTTTATCTGTCAGATAAGCATGTATGGCTGATTCCAGGGACCAAGCAAGCAGTGCGAAGATCTGGGTACCAGCCTCCATTTGGATCTTCCTCCCTTGTACGCACCCCTCAGCCTAGGGAAGACCTGAGCCCCGAGCCCCACGGCCTCTGCCAGCTGCTTGCCTCTCACTCAGAGATCCTAATTCCACCCCTGAGAACAGCACTCACGATTTATAAACCACTTCCACATCCAGGCCACATCCAATCCTCTCATCAACCCGGGAGGCCGCAATTGTTATCACTCCCAGAGGACAGTTAAGGAATTTGAAGCTTGGAAATGTTAAGCAGCTTGTTCCAGGCCCGGCAGCCAATAGGTGGCTGAGCAAGGACTTCATCCAAACCGTCTGACCTCAGCCCAGCAGTCTTTCCACAGCAACACCCTGACTCCTTGGTTTTATTATGACTTTATTAAATTATTATAAATCTTTTTCTATTCAGTACTGTATACCTTCTCTCTCCCATGGGCCTCCCAAGTTTAGATTTTAAAACAGCATTCATTTACTGATGGCAGAAATAAATATATATATATTATTACAAAAGACTTGTAAAATACAGAAGTACAAAAAAGAAAATAAAAACCACCCATAACCCTATTATCCAGAGACAACTGCTTATAACATTTTGGTGTATATTATTCTAATACACACACACACTCACACATCACTCTCTCTAAAAAAAAAAAGTTGCCGTCAAGTCAATTTTGACTTACGGCAACCCCATGTGTATCAGAGTAGAACTGTGCTCCATAGAGTTTTCAATGACTGATTTTTCAGAAGTACATCACCAGGCCTTTCTTCCTCACTCTCTATGTTGTTGTGTGCCGTCGAGTCGATTCCACCTCATAGCGACCCTATAGGACAGAACAGAATTGCCCCATAGGGTTTCCTAGGCTGTAATCTTTATGGCAGCAGATAGCCACGTCTTTTCTCCTGTGGAGCACCTGGCGGGTCTGAACCACCAAACTTTCAGTTAGTAGCTGAGCGCTTAACCACAGCTATATATAAATAGGTATAAATAACGTATACAAAATTAGAGTCATAGCAAACATACAGTTTTGAATTCTGCCAGTTGTTGCAGAATATACCATATTTCCCTGGGTCATTAAGTATTCTTCTATATCATTGTCATGGTTTGAATAATGTCCCCCCAAAAATGTGGGTATCAATTTGGCTAGGCCATGATTCCTGGTACTGTGTGATTTTCCTGTATGTTGTAAACCTGCCTCTATGATGTTAATGAGGGAGGATGGGTGGCAGTTGTGTTAGTAAGGCAGGACCTGATCTATAAGACTGGATTGTGTCCTGCGGCAATCTCTTGAGTTATAAAAGACAGAAGTGAGCAGTGAGACAGGGGGACCTCATACTATCAAGAAAGCAGTGCCGGGAGCAGAGCGCGTCGTTTGGACCGGGGTCCCTGCGCAGAGACGCTCCTAGTCTGGGGGAACACTGATGAGAAGGCTGAGAGAGAGAAAGCCTTCCCCTGGAGGTGATGCCCTGAATTTGGACTTTTATCCTACTTTGACTGTGAGGAAATAAACTTCTCTTCGTTAAAACCATCCACTTGTGGTATTTCTGTTAGAGCAGCACCAGATGACTAAGACAATCACCAATTTTAAGGCTGCACGTGTGAATGAGATATACTTTGCCCAGGCAATCCCTACTGCAGATGCTCCGGGTTGCGTTTGCTATTAGCAGCAGTGCTGCTAGGAGTGACCTTGTTCCTAAATCTTGGTGCTCTGGCGCTGGCTGTAATTCTGCCCCTCCGATAAAGGGCAGAAAGCGCAGGCCAGTCTCAGGCCACGGGCGCACATCAACTGCGGCCCGGGGGATAGAGTCGGATCTTGGGCTCTTGCAGGAGCTACTTCTGCACAGGTGGAGGAGCAAGGGGCCCAGGTGAGAGCCCTGGACAGGTAGCCAGGAGGCCAAACTCATGCTCAGGCCTGCTGCTGACCTACTGGGTGACCTTAGCAGTCCTCTCCCCTCTCGGACCATCAGTTTCCCATGTGCACCATACAGAGTTTTGATGACTCGATCTTCTGTGAATCAGGGAGTTTGTGGTAGAGGCTGGAAAGAGTGGGGACTCTGGATTCCGTTCACTGGCTGTGTGAAGTGTGGCCATGTCATTTAACCTTTCTGAGCGTATCTGTAAAATAGTGGCTAGTGAGTTAGCAGGGTATCCTGGGGCCACAGCCTCGGGGGTTCCTCCAGTCTCTGTCAGACCAGTAAGTCTGGTCCTTTTTTGTGAATTTGAATTTTGTTCTACATTTTTCTCCTGCTCTGTCTAAGACCCTCTATTGTGATCCCTGTCAGAGCAGTTGGTGATGGTAGCTGGACACCATCTAGTGAAGTCCACTTTTCAGACAAAGATTAGACAGGTCTATAAAACACACAATAACACACGTGAGGAACGTGCTTCTTAGCTCAATCAAATATACAAGACCAAACGGGCAACTCCTGCCCCAAAACAAGATGAGAAGGCTGGAAGGGACAGGAAAACTGGAAAAACGGACATGCGGAACCCAGGGTGGAAAGGAGGAAAGCTCTGTCACATTGTGGGGATTGCAACCAATGTCATAAAACAATTTGTGTATAAATTTTTGAACGAGAAACTAACTGGCTGTTGCCGTCGAGTTGATTCCGACTCACAGTGACCCTACAGGACAGAGTAGAACTGCCCCATAGCATTTCCAAGGAGCAGCTGGTGGATTCAAACTGCCAACCTTTTGGTTAGCAGCCAAGCTCTTAGCCACTGCCAAAGCACCTCAGGCACAGTCACCATCTCTCTGTCAGTGGAAGCTTGCATGTTGCTATGATACTAAACAGGTTTCAGCAGAGCTTCCAGACTGAGACAGAGTAGGAAGAAAGGCCTGGCAATCTACTTCCAAAAATCAGCCAGTGAAAACCCTTTGGATCACATCAGTCCCAACCCACTGTGCATGCGGTCTCCATGAGTTGAGAGCCAATGCCACGGCAGCTGATAATGACAACAATGTAGCCTTAACTGAGTTACTTAACTTCTCAGTTACTTGATTTGCTGGTGTTGTCAGTAAATGAAGATTACTGTAATTCCTTCCTCAAAGGGTTGAGTGGAAGGTTAAATGAGAGGCTGTATGTTACACACATGGCTCAGGCGGGATACACATAAATCACTCAGCGAAAGGCTACTCCATAAGAAGGTGCACCACAGACTTGCCTTGCTCAGAGATGCTATGCACAACGCCGCTCAGGTGGGTAGCTTCTGGGGTCTTCTCGGGCACAGGTTCACCAGAAAGCTCCACGTCCTCAGAAGGAGAGGTTGGAGTTGGAGGTGCGTTTATCGGTTCTACTTTTGCCTCTCTAGGCTGAAAGGAGGAAACGAGACCCAAAAGATTCACTTGGCAGTAAAGCAGGAAAAAATGGCAGGGAAAAGAATATATCCACAAGTGCTGATTAAACCCACAAGAAAACCTACATCTGCCTGCCATTTACCTGGGTAATCACAGAACCTCCCAGGGCCTGACAGAGGTGCATGCTAAAGGTAATTAATAAATTCCGTCCACTTTACAGCAAGATTCTGCTAATCTCAGCTGAGCTCTTTGAGCACAGAGAACACACATCTGTGATCCCTGCATCCCAGCTGGTGCAGGGGAGGAGCTCAATAAAGAGCTGTTAGATGAGGGAATGAACGAAAGAATGAATGAATGAGCCAAGCTGCGCTCAGTAACTGCTGTATAAATCCCATCCCAGGTGTGTACTGGTCTTGGACGCCTATGAAATGAAAGATGGGTATGGTTTTCTTCCAAGGAAACTTTAGGATCTGTATAGCTTTTCCAAAGCCAGTAAGTGTCAACCAACTTTAACAACTAGGGGGAAAAAAAGCCAGCCAACAGTTGGAAACACAGCATGTCAGAAAACCAGAGACAAATCTTGACGTAGGGCTGTGGAGGCTGTGACATCACCCCCAGAGCCAGGATACAGGTAGCAGCTCATGAGACCCAGGGCTTATCAACATTCAAATAGTCTCATCACTTTCTGAGCTTCAGGGGCTGCACAGTGAATGTAAAGATTCTGCCGACCAGTGTTGAACTTGTGGTGTGAGCAAGAAATAAAGCTTTGTCTTGTTAAGACACTAAGATTTCAGGGTTAATTTGTTACTGCAGCATAACCTGCTCATCCTGACTAACAACAGAAAGTTATTTCTTTAATGTCAGAATCCAGGGTATAATAAATCTCTGGTCCATCAGAACAAGGAGGATTCTTGGGGTCCCATAACTTAGGGCTCAATGGTTCATTTCTTACAGTCAGATCCGGGACAAATCCTAGCTCTCCACTTATTAGCTATGTTGGGCAAGTCACGTAACCTCATGAAGCCTCGGTTTCCTCCTCTGTAAAAGGGGGACAATAATAACTACTTAGAAGGTAGAAAATGCATGGAAGTGCTCAGTACAGTGCCTGACCTATAGCACGAGCCCCACAAATGGTAGCTGTCACGAACATCATTAGAATTTTAAAATTATAAAAGAACAACTCCTTAACAGTGATTTTCTCTAGATGTTGGTATGAAAGGGGATTGTTTTATCTTTTTGTTTATCTGCACATCTCAAATTTTTGATAATGAATATGGAATATTTGTGTGATAAAAATAAATCTATTGTTTAGAGTACTACAAAGTTTCCAGGGTGAATGTATGAACGCTTCAAGGACTTGGGTCTTGAAGAATGTACAGGGTTTCAGAAAACAGAGATGGAGGGAGGGGTTGGGGTGACAAAGGACATGATATTGTCAGGGCCTGACAACCTGGACTTGGCAAAAGCCAAGAGCTCGAGGAGAGAAGCAGGGGACAGAGCCTGGGGAGACAGGAAGATGGAGGGAGATGGTTCCTTGGTGAGAAGAAGAGGCTTGGATTGAGGGCAATGGAGAGTCGCTGTGGGGTATTAGGCTGGGAGTGGCATGGCTGGGTGTGTGCTTTGGAGAGTACACCCTGTGGCAGTGAGAGCATGGATTAGGCAAGCTGAGGTTTAGGCCAAGAGACCAGGAGGTTGCAATAAAGAGGCCAAGTAAGGCAGGAACTAGGGCAGTGGTGGGGGAGCAGAGAGTAGGCACCATCCCAGGAAAGGTTGTGAAGAAGAGTGAGTAGGACATCCCCATGTCTCCCCAGCTGGAGACACCATCTAGCAGGGCATGTAAGGACTCCTCCCCTGGCGGTTCCTCTCCTCTCCTTGTTAGGGGTCTGGGCAGAAGCCACTTCACTGTAGTTCCCCGATGATGCCAAGGAAGCTGAAGAAAGCCCAGGAGTGAGGCTGCTTTATAAGGCATTTGGGCGTTGGGACAAGGCAGGTAGGGTGGGTGAGGGGTGGGAAGCACAGGAGGATGAGGTAACTCTGGTCTGAGCTCTATAACTCAAGGTGCAAAAGTTGGGTTTATACAAAATCACTGATTCCAGCTCATCAGCCACAAACTTCTTTCGGCAAACTCCCAGCAAGGCAGCTACAAGCCCCTGTCCAAGGGCAGAATACCATTCTGGTGAGCTGACGCTCAGTGTGGGGCTGAGGGGTCCTGCCTCAAGCAGGACGCTGTTGGCTTTCAAGGGGCAGCATGCATGCAGAGCCCGTGAAGTCTGTGATAAAGCAGGAATGTTGAGTCATTTCCTGAGACCCTACCATGAGCCAGGTCCTTGGCTGAGCCCTGGGGATACAGAATGAATAAATAAGACAGTGTGTCTGCCCTCAAACTGTCAGACCAGAGGGAAGACAAGGAAGCAGAGCCAAACACAACCAACTGTGATATAATGTGACACAGGGAACAACAGAAGTGAGAGCCAAGTGCGGGGAGGGGGACTTGGCAATTATGGCCTCCCAGGAGGGGGCATGGACCAGATCCTGAAGGATAGTTAGGAATTTTCAGACAGAAGGGTGGGGAAGGGCACTTCAGGTAAACAGAACCGTATGAGCTAGGGCATGAACCCGTTGCCATCTAGCCAATTCCAACTCATGATGACCCCATGTGTGACAGAGAAGAAGTGTGCTCCATAGGGTTTTCTTGTATGTAATCTTTTTGGAAGCTAATCACCAGGGTGTGTTCCATGGAGCAGACGGGCGGGCTCAGACTGACAACTTTTAGGTTAGAAGTCGAGCACAAACCAATTGTGCCACCTGGGGACCTTCAGCTAAGACATGAATGGAGGTGAAAGTGCTTGGTGTCTTTGGGAAGCTGTGAGCATTTGGGTGTAGTCACAAGAGAGGCCCTCAACCCTGGCTGTGGATCTGAATCACCGGCAGAGCTTTCTCTAAGTCCAGATTCTGGACCTCCCTCCACACCTACTGAATCTGAATTTCCAGGTATGCAGCCCAGGCAAAGGTCTTTTCTCAGAGACTCGACTCTCCATTCCACCCCCATAGGTGACGCTGATGCACAGCAAGGACTGACAACCAAAAAACAACCAAACCCATTGCCACTGAGTGGATCCCGACTCATAGCGACCCTATACAAAGGGATGCTAATTCTATCTCAGCATAAGATAGAACTTTCCAGAAATGGAAAACTGTCAGCAGAGGCTGACTGAGCACAGGGCACGAATGGGGTAGCAGGGACTCCTACTCTAAACGGGGAGGAGGGTAAGGAGGGCCTGGCTTTTTAAGTTCCTGATGGCTCAGATGGCCCATGATTCAGCTCCAGGGCTGTGGCTTGTGTCTTGGAGGGTGGCTGGCTGGAAAGAGTGGGGAAAAGGAAGTGAGATTTATTCCAAGAGAGAAACCAGACCGGGGGCGGGGGGAGTCTGAGGCGAAGAGGGAAATCCCCCGTCCCTGAGGGGTGGCTGCTAAACAGAACTCTGGAGCCCTTCCAGGAGATGGTGTAGAGGGAAGTCCCCAGCTGGGCTGTCCGTGTGTGTGTGTGTGTGTGTGTGCGTGTGTGCGTGTGTGCGTGTGTGCGTGTGTGTGCGTGTGTGCGTGTGTGCGTGTGTGCGTGTGTGTGCGCGCGCGCGCGCAAGTGACACAGCCCTCGGCGGAGCCCAAAGACCTGGCTCTGCCGCCTACAGGCTGGGCAGCCTCGGCAAAGTTCGTTACGCCTCGTGCCTAGGTGTCTGCCTCTGTGGAATGGATGGGAAAACACCTCCCTGCAAAGGACGCTGAAGGAAGTGAATTGCTCTGCAAAGAGCAAAGACAGGAGCACGTGGAAGATACTGATCGTCAGAACCTGACAAGTGAGCATTAGGACGGGCAGCTCCTGGGCCTTGAAGTCACAGCCCTGGGGGAATTCTCTTAGGACTAAGGGGCAATCAAAGGCGTATGGCAAGTCCAGACCAGGTGCTGGGGGAGGCCCCAAGAGCTACTGGATATCCTTGCTGGGTGTGACCATGAGCTGGACACTCTAATGCATCACCTCCCTCAATCCACACAACAGACTGACCAGGCAACATCAACGACAACAACCAACATTCACTGAGCAGTTGCTGTGGGCCAGGCTTGGGCCAGGCCTCTGACATGTGTCAGCTCCTCTAATCCTCACACTAACGCTGTGAGTTTCCATTTTAACCCCGGACGACACTACGACTGGAGAAGTTAAGTTACTGGCTCAAGATCAACAACCAGTATTTGGTGGAGTGGGGGCTCACACTTGGTGGGACTCCAATCTGCACCAAAACGACAACAACAACCCATGCCGTCGACTCAATTCCCACTCACGGCGACCCCAAGTGTTTTAGAGTACAACTTCTCCACAGGGCTTTCTTGGCTGTAATCTTTACAGGAACAGAATGCCAGGCCGTTTTTCCATGGTGCTGCTGGGTGGATTCAAACAGCCAACCTTCAGGTTAGCAGTCAGGCACAAACCGTTTGTGCCACCCAGGGACCTTCCAATCTGTACCAGTTCTCTTAAACATCACTAAGAAGAGTGAGGATGGTGACTATAAAAGTAGGTGTTCTGGGTGCCTCAAAGGCTACCAAATCCATCAAACCACCACCAACCTTTTTTGCCACTTCTCCAGACATACTGGGGATTTGTTTCGTAACCCCCCCATTATCTGCCTCTGTGTGCGCAATACCACGGTCCAGGGGAGAGGCCCCAGGTGGGGAGCCAATGGGCTCAGCTAGAGTACCGACTCTACCCCTGAGTGACCTTGGCAAAGCCACCTTGCCTCCTGAGCGTCTGTCTGCATATCTGTACAATGTGAGGCTGATGCCACCTTCCTTGCAGGGCAAGGAGGAAATGAAGGCATTACATACAAAAGCACCAGACACACGGCGGGAATCTAGAAATGGTGGTCCTCTTCCCTCCCTTCTCTTCATCCCCTCCCATTTCTCTGTCCATGTCCAAAGCTGCCCCACCCTTCAAAAAAGGGTACCCTGTCCACCAGGAAGCCATCCCTGACCACCTCCTCACCATGATCATCTCATGCTCTCAAACCAAACCCTCTTTTCCTGTCCCTATCTTGGGCAACCTTGGGTTATTGGCATCTCGGCTTGAGTTTGCCTCCCTCAGAGACTGTAAACTGGTGCCCTGGCAGGGAGGGGGTGCAGCATCAGGCTGAGAAGGCCCAAAGGACCACCGCTCTGTGCTTTGCTGCCCTGTGCCCTGGACACGCCCATGGAGCAGCCAAGGGCTGATAGGCACAGAGGATTGCAACACTGCCTAGCAATAGCCATCCTACCAGTCCCTGAGTAGGCAGTTGACCCTTGACTTCTTCCATCCCAGCTGCCTGAGAATTAGCTCTGGTCTTGGGTACAGGCCTCTGCAACACCGCCTCTCGCCAGTATCACAGGGTCATAGCCTGAAACCTGGAAAGGTCATTGGGAGACCCATGCACTAGCTCAAGCTCTGCCCATGCAACCTTGGGAAGAAGTCTCTTCCTCCCTACGGCCTCAATTTGCCTATCTGTACAAAGGGAAGTTTGAAAGAGGTGTCTTTTAAGTCCTTTCAGCTCATAGACCAAGAGGAGTCATTCAAACAGAACAAGGCGATACTGCATTGTTTAAAATCAGGAAAAGTGTGTGTCAGAGTTGTTTCCTTTCACCATACTTATTCAATATGTATGCTGAGCAAATAATCCGAGAAACTGGACTATATGAAGAAGAACGTGGCATCAGGATTAGAGGAAGACTCAAAAACAACCTTTGCTATGCAGATGACACAACCTTGCTCACTGAAAGCGAAGAAGACTTGAAGCACTTACTGATGAAGACCAAAGACCACAGCCTTCGGTATGGACCACACCTCAACATAAAGAAAACAAAAATCATCACAACTGGACCAATAAGCAACATTATGATAAACAGAGAAAATATTAAAGTTGTCAAGAATTTCATTTTACTTGGATCCACAATAAATGCCCACGGAAGCAGCAGTCAAGAAATCAAATGATGTATTGCATTGGGCGAATATGCTGCAGAAGACCTCTTTAAAGTGTTAAAAAGCAAAGATGTCACCTTGAGGACTAAGGTGCACTTGACCTAAGCCATGGTATTTTCAATTGCCTCATATGCATGTGAAAGCTGGACAATGAATAAGGAAGACCTAAGAAGAATTGGTACCCTTTGAATTATGGTGTTGGCAAAGAATATTGAATATACCATGGACTGCCAGAAGAACAGACAAATCTGTTTTGGAAAAAGTACAGCCAGAATGCTCATTAGAAGCAAGGATGGCGAGACTTTGTCTTATGTACTTTGGACATGTTATCAAAAGGGACCAGTCCCTGGAGAAGGACATCATGTTTGGTAAAGTACAGGGTTAGTGAAAAAGAGGAAGACCCTCAAAGAGATGGACTGACACAGTGGCTACAACAATGGGCTCAAACATAGCAACGACTTGAGGATGGCGCAGGACTGGGCAGCGTTTTGTTGTGTTGTACATAAGGTCGCTAAGAGTCGGAACCGACTCCATGGCACCTAACAACAACAAAGCTCTACAGTCCTATTCTGCCCCACCCAGACCCCTGTAGCCACAAGTCTATAATTTAGTAGCTTCTGTCTTATTTCCATATATCTACTTTTTTCTATCCAAAGTAAGCTGGACCCGTTGAGGTGACTGCTGGGACTTCTCTGTTTTCTTTGACTCAGACACTGCTTGCTGTTTTCATTAAAAATGGGCTGCTTGGTGTCCCCATAGTCTGACTCAGTGCTTCTGAAACCACTTCCTCGTCTCAGCCTCAGTGCATTCCCAGGAGTGGGGAGGACTGCACACCGGGGAGGAGGCTGCCTTTTCCATGGCCAGAAGCGAACCCTCGGGGAGGACTTTGCACCTCTGGTGGGGGCGGGGGGGCTTTTCTTCTCCCTCACAGCTGAGCCCTGAGCAAATGTTTCAACAGTCACCATTTAGGGTCATTTCCCTTGTGCCAGACACTGGGCTAAGACCTGCCTCTGCACTGCCTCATCTAACCTCGCAACAACCCCATGGAACAGGATACGATGATTACCATTTTATGAAAGAGGAACCGAGACTCAGAGAGGCTAAGTGACCCAACGTCACAGAGCTGGGAAATGACAGAGCACCACGTCTGCCTTTGGACAGCAGTCCTCTTGTGTCCACAGCACAGGATGGCACTGAGGTAAACGGCATTCCAGTTCACCTGGGGTATTTTCAAAATGCCCAGTGGCCAGTACTTTCCTGAACCTTCCCCCAGGTAAGCCAAAGATCGAGGTCACAGATCTGAGGACAGAGACATCAGGCCTGGGGTTCTGGGGATCCCCCGATGCCCCTCAGCCCCTAAAAGCGGACCAAGATTGCATGGTGCAGGACTCCAGCACTCACCGGGGCTTGAGTGTAGGTGATGGCCTCTAGGATCTCAGCCACTCCATCTGTCTCCTGAAGCCCACTCGTCTCTCCCGAGGCCTGTGCAGAGACAAATCACACCACACACCCGGCAGAGAGGGGGCAGTTTACAAGAGAGCCTGACAAGTGGGAAAGTAACAGAAATGTGGAAGAACCCGTATGTGGGTGTGTATGAGCAAAAGAGAAAACGAGAGAGAATGCGGTGTGCACACGTGTGTGCATGTTTGGCTATTCTTTACTTTTCCTTCCACATTTTATTGCTCAAGCAAACAAACCAAAAACAATTTATTCACAGTCTCTCTAATACATCTGCTTTCATTTTTTCAGGTTCCCTTCAACTTCTGTCAAAAGGCACTCTAATCTTTGCAGAGTTGTAACCGGGATTCTACGTTGAGAACCGTTACACCCTAAGTATCCCTTCATGTTGCTACGTAATCTTCAGAATTAGCCTTCTACAAATGGCAACCAATGAGTCTGTGCGCCATGGCTGTGTAACCAATCCCTTATTGTTGGACTCGATTGCTTCTACTTTTTCACTATTAACAGTAATGCAGAGATGAATGACTGAACACATGTAAGGTTTTCCTGTCCTCGGCGTCGCCGGAACACCAGGCTGGGTCCCAGGCTCGAGGTGTACAGTCATTCTTAGAGTCAAATTCCACTCTGGGGGACTTCCCCACTAAACTGACAGCAACGTTTGCTAAATTAATGAAATCAACTTATGTTTTGTTTTTGGGTTGACACCATCCAAAGAGGAACGGAAGCTCCAGGGATATGCCACCTCTGCTAGGCCTCTAACTTTTGCATCACGCGCCCCTTCTGCTTGGAATGCCCTTCGGCCTCTTCATCTGGCCTCCTCCTGCTTGTCATTGGCCAGGTGTCAACTCCTCTTTGATTAGTTCCTGTTCTTCCTCTTTCCCCTCCCTGCCCCACCCCTCCCCTTTAGTTCAATCACACTCAGCTCTGTCCTTGTGTTTGGCTGTGTAGGTTGTGTGTGCAGCTTGAGGACGGGGACAGTACCCAGATTATCCCTGTATCTCCAGCACCTGCCCAGGGCCATCACCTGGCAGGTGCTTAGTAAGTTTTGGAAGGAGGAGGGGGGAGGGAGGGAAGGAGGGAGTAAGGAAGGAAGGAAAGGAAGAAATGAGCCATCTTTTTTCTTGCCCACCCACCAACTTAGGAACTAATTCACTTGCCAAGCACAAAAGCTAAATTTAGGTTAGCTTTTATAGGAATTCACACCCAGAATGTCTTAGAGTTTTAACTTTGATTTTAGAATCCCGACACCCTTGCCTGGCAGGAAGGCTGGAAACCAGGCCATTGCCTGCCACAGCTACGGAAGAACCTAACACCTTGTAAGAAGCAGAACCCCAAACGCCAAAGAGTTGGCTGAAGCTCTTAAAAAACTAAAATAAAAAAATTTAAAAAGCCCAAAATAGGACTTGATGCAGCGCTTGCCAAGATGAGAGATTTCAGAGACACCATGACGTTAGAGATGAGGAATTGCCTCGACACCCGACCCTTCCTTGGCGGGCTGCTGCCAGGGCTGCACGGCCCACTGTGGGGGTGGGGGGACTCACCGAGGACTCTTCAGCTTCACACAGCTCCTCAGGGGCCCTGGGGTCAGCGTGGATGGTGAGCTGCTGTATGGAGCCCTGGGGAAAAGCAGAGGGGTCAGAAGCCACCATTTGCGCATCTACAGCACAACCAGCAGTGGAAACCATGCTTTTTTTGTAACAGAGAAGAACACAAGAAAGAATGTGTGTGAGAATGTGTGACGAGGTCATCAAGCCACCCCTTGGCCATTCTCCTTATATTATATCTCCAATATAAAACAAACCTCATTAGCTGGAGAGGTCCTTGGAGAGCACCGTGTTCAAACAAAAAAACCAAACCAGTTGCCGTGAAGTTGATTCCAACTCACGGTGACCCCATGTGTGTCACAGCAGAACTGTGCTCCATATGATGTTCAATGGCTGATTTTTTTTTTGCCAGGTCTTTCTTCCAAGGTGCCTCAGGGTGGACTCAAACCTCCAGCCTTTACAATTAGCAGCCAAGCACTTAACCATCTGCACCACCCAGGAACTCCTCTTCAAATATGCCAAGTGCTTTTACATAGAGTATCTTATTTAACTCACCAACCTGTCAAGTAGGTTTTATTCTCCCCACTTTACAGATGAGGAAACAGAGAGAAGCTCAGAGGATTCAAGTACTGTCTAAAATCATCAGGCTAGTAAGTTGAAGACATAGCATGGGGAACTAGGTTTTTGAGTTCCAAGCCTAGCATTGTTCTCATCACAACACACATGCCTCTCTGAGGACACAGGAATAAAATAATATCAGTGATAAACCCATTGGCGCACAGAGTCAATTCTGACTCATAGCAACCCTGTAGGACAGAGTAGAACTGCCCCATAGGGCTTCCAAGACTATAATCTTTACGGAAGCAGACTGCCACATCTTTCCCCCGCACAACAGCTGGTGGGTTCGAACTGCTGACCCTTTGGTTCACAGTCGAGTGCTTAACCACTGTGCCACCAAGTTTCCTTATAATAATGATATTTGTTCGTATTTAGTGCACGGTGAGTCTGTGCCCGAGAGCCTCCCTCATCTGCTGGGAATAGGACTTTGACACTCACGGTGAATCTCTCCAGCCCTGTGGCTCCTGCATTGCCCACGAAGATGCCCGCACTGGGTTCTATACCCAAGGCCTGGGAGGACCGCTGGAAGGCGACGTGGCTGTGCTCCTCACAGTCCATAAGCAGGGCCACTTCCTCACCCTGGACGATCACGGCAAAGCGGTTCCACCTGTGGGTCATCACAGGCACCAGGAAGACAGCAGCTTCACGGGACACGTGAGAGCCGGGCTCTGTGTAGTAGAGGATGATCCGCTGGCGGCCGTCCTCCACACCCGAGAGCCGCAGGCCCAGGTAGATGACTTTCTGGAAGGCATCTGTGATAGCAAACAGCACACCACCTTGGGTGCTGCTGGGCTTCACCATGACGCCGATGGCGAAGTCCCTGAAGAAGGTGGGTGGGATGAGGGTCCTGGCCGGGCGACCAATGTTGGCGCCAGGCCCGAAGCTGTAGGCTGGGAAGCCACCGTAGCCTGTGACAAAGGACACGGAGGAGGGCAATGGGACGCCAATGAGCTCCGTGAGGTCCAGGTGGCCCTGGGAAGCCAGTTCTGCAGGGAGAGAAGAGAGACCACGCATCATACACGTATTCTACTATGACTGGAAGTGAGCAGGAAAGAAAAAGTCCCACTGTATTTTCTAAATTTGTATTTTTCAAACTCTTGTGGCAATGATCCACAATAAGAAATGCATTTACATCACAATACAACCTGTACATATATTGTTGTTGTTGGTAGCTGCCGTCAAGTGGGCAACGGAACAGAATGCTGTCCAGTCCTATGCCATCCCCATGATGGGTTGTGGACTGGACAGTTGTGACCCATAAGGTTTTCACTGGCTGACTTTCGGAAGTAGATCACCAGGCCTTTCTTCCTAGTCAATCTTAGTCTGGAAGATCCACTGAAACCTGTTCAGCATCATAGTAACACACAAGCCTCAGTGACAGGTGGGTGGTGACTGTGCATGAGGTGCACTGGTCGGAAATCGAACCCAGGTCTCCTGCATGGAAGGCAGGAATTCTACCATTGAACCACCAATACCTCACATACATATATAAATAAATATATATCTGCAATACTGAAATAAATGTTTCATTAAACATTACTTAAATACTCATCAGGCACTCTGATATTTTCTTTCCTATTTAATTAGTATTTTCCCTTATATTTTAGTAAAAATCATGCTCGATAAGGGCCACAATAGATGGACCCTGACAGAACAGGAGAAAAACCCAAAAAAGAACTCAAATTTTTTAAAAGTCCAGACTTACTGAACCAGTTGAGACTATAGGACTCCCTGAGACAATCACCCTGAAACTATCCCCTGAGGATAGCGAAATAACAGATTGGCACACAAATAAAGGATATCACCCATGAGTACAGTGCTCTATTTAAAAAAAAAAAATCTATATAAGACCAAAAGGTCAACAATTACTCTAAAGCAAAGATGAGAAGATAAGGGGGCAGGGAAACTAGAGCACTGGAAACAGAACAACCAGAAAGCAATTAAAGAGAATGCTCACACACTTGAAAAATGTAACCAATGTCGCTGAACATTTTATGTAGAATTGTCAAATGGGAACCTAATTTTCTGTGTAAGTTTTCACCAAAAATACAATAAAATATTTAAAAAAAAGAGAGAAGCAACTCTTCTTATAAAAAAATAACTATCGAGTAAAAAAAAAAGTCATGCTGGAAATAAACAAAAACCTCAAACCCACTGCCGTCAAGTCAATTCCAACTCACAGAAATTTACAGGACAGTAGAGCTGCCCCATAGGGTTTCCAGGGCTGTAAATCTTTACGGAAGCAGACTGCTACATCTTTCTCCCACAGAGCAGCTGGTGAGTTCATATCGCTGATGCTTTGGTTAGCAGCTGAGCACTTTAACCACTGAGCTACCAGAGCTTTTCATTACCCACTAGTGGGTCATGACCTGCAGTTTGGAAAACTTTCCAAAATATTTCCTGTCCTAGAATATATAATATGCACCCATCAGCTTTCAGATTTTTCCCCCACTGCTTTCTATAAAACTAGGTAGGTTTTATTTATTTTGTTTTGTTTTATTTTGAATGTGGTCTGCTGTTTAAGTGCCTCAGGGAGTGGGAAAAGACGCAGGGACCAAGTGAAGTGTCGCAAGACCTCAGGAGAGTTGAAATTTACACTGTGGAGTTGGTTGTCATTGTCGTAACCATCATCAGTACTCCCCGAGCAGTCACTGTGTACCTGCTGCCGTTCTAAGCTCTTCACAGACTTTAGCTCATTTAATCCTCACAACAACCTTATGAAGTTAGATACTATTATTGGCATTTTACTTCTGAGGAAACCAAACCTTAGAGAAATTAAGAAATTTGTCCAACGTAAGTTTGACCCAGGGTTCAAACCCAGGGCACGTGACCCAGAGTCTGGGTTCTTAACCACCACACCCTAGGGGGAGAAATGATAGGTTTCCTCATAGATTGCATCGCTAGGTGCTGTCAAGTCAATTCTGACTCACAGCCACCCAGTGTGACAGAGTAAAACTGCCCCACAGGGTTTTCTAGGCTGTAATCTTTACAGGAAAAGATCACCGGGTCTTTCTCCGGTGGAGCTGCTCAGTGGGTTCAATCTGCTGACTTTTCGGTTAGCAGCTGAGCGCTTAATCATGTCCCTCCCCCCACCCCCACCCTACCCCCATTTCCACCTAGCAGTCCTTATCTGAAAGAAAAATTAGAGTTATTAGGAGTTTCATTAGGGGTGATCAGGTTGGTAATGAAATTACATTTCAGCTCCTTCTCAGCCCAGGGATCCTTTGGTGGCCTGGAAAGGAACCCAGGCTCAGAGCCTTGGTCCATCCAACCATGGTCCCTGGGAGAAGGCTGCAGGCTAGCATGCAGGGACCCCCACCCACTGCTGAGACACCCGTGATGGCCAAGGTGCCAGCAGGACCCAAGGAGAGGTGGACAGGACCACAGCAGCCAAGACAACGGACAAGGAAGGCTTTTTGGCCTTGGAAGTGGTACCAGGTCCTGAGGGTTCAGCAGATGAGAAGGCCTGAAATGAGTAGGGTTCAGAATCAAGCTATGTCCTCCCCCAGGGGCCAGGAGCAGGCAGACTCACCTGGCAATGCCTGGGCTACAGCCAAAGGCCAGAGACCTGTGAGAACCTCAGTGACAAAAGGAGGCTTGGCAGGCTGGTCTCCAGAGAAGACCCAAGCTGCTCTAGGGCACCTCCGAGTAAAGCCCCACCTGATGAATCAAACCCGCTTTCCAGTGCACCCAACTTGCCACTGTCTTCTTGGACACAACTTACTAGCTGTGTGACCTTGGGCAAGTCATGTAACTGCTCCCAGGCTGGTATCTTCCTCTATGGTATGGGGTAACAGTATGTGATCCAGGGGGACGCTTAAATGTGACCATCCATGTAAACCCTGGTAAAGAAAGTAGTAAGGCAAGAAACATTTATGCGCTACTCTTTATTTTCATAACATTCACTCAACAACCGCAATGGGCACAGATTATTACCTCTACTGTGCTGACAAGGAAAATAAGCTGAACTGGGTTCCTAGGTGTCCTGCCCCCTGCGCCCCCGAGCTCCCAGTAAATAATAACCTTGTTTTTCACCCATGATTTTACTTAGTCCTCACAGCAGCCCTGGGAATGACTGGCTATTGTTCCATTTTACAGATGAAGTACTGAAGCTTAGGAAGAGGACATGACTGGCCTGTGGTTATACAGCTAGTGAGTGGCAGGCTGTTTCGAGCCCTGGGCCGGTCTGACCTCTCTTTGGGTCACTGCTGCAGCCTCACTGAAATGGGGGCTCTCTCCCAGGGGTTCTGGGTGGGGCTCGACCCAGTTGCTGTACCAATGATCCTTCGGCAGCAAGAAGGATGGAGTCAGAACCCCAGGGGGTCTAGGGACTCAAGTTTCCCATGGGTGGCCATGCGAGTTCCTGGAGGATCCAGAGAAAGAGAGGCTCCAACTCCTGACCCCTACCCTGTAGCACCCACAGGGAGGACTTTCCACAGTCAGCAACTAGTGTGTGTGTGTGTGCATGCATGGGTGTGTGTACGCATGCATGGGTGTGTATACATGTGTGCACGGGTGCATACGTGTGCATATGCTTGTGCGTGCATGTGTGCACAGGTACGTGTGTGTGCACGTGTATGCATGCACGTGTGCCTGTGTGGATGTGTACATGGGTGTCTGCATGTCTGTGTGTGAAAATTTATTACAAAATACTTAGGGCATTCAAAAAGGTATAAAGAATCATACAAGGAACATGCCTGTGCCCACCACCCCACTTAAGAAACAACATGTCAATTGAGCTGGAGCTCTCACTGACTCTCGCCAATTACATTCTCCCACCCACATCCCAGAGGGAACTGCTCTCTGGATAATTCGGTGTTTATCATTCCCATGCATTTCTTTATATGTTTACAATATGTGGATGTGTCTCAAACAGAATGTAGAATCACTGTGCATGATTCCACACCTCATGTAAATAGTAGCATGCTGCCTGCATTCTTCCGGCACTTACTGTCCCCTATTCTCCACTCAACATTGTATTTTTGAGATTCATCCTTGTTGGTACATGTGGCTCTAGGTCATATGTTTTCACAGTAGTACCTTGTGGTATAAATAAACCACGTGCTCATTTTTCTGTTGATGGTAAGTGAGGTCTCCGTCACTATTACAAACAATGCTATTTTGGGCTTTCTTATACGCACTCAGGAGCCCTGGTGTCGCAGTGGTTAAGAACTCAGAGAGAGAAGATCCATCTCCTGACCCCTACCACGCAGCACCCACAGGGAGGACTATCCACAGTCAGCAACTAGTGTGTGTGTGTGCATGCATGAGCATGTATATGTGTGTGCACATGTGCGTCGGCAGTTCAAATCCACCAGCCGCTCCTTAGAAACCCTATGGGGCAGTTCTACTCTGTCCTATAGGGTCACTATGAGTCGGAATCAAGTCGCCAGCAACGGGTTTGGTTTGATTTTTTGTGTGTGTGTGTGATTGTTTTTTTGGTTTTATATGCAGTCAGGAAATCAAACAACACGTTGCATCGGGAAAATCTGCTGCAAAAGATCTCTTTAAAGTGTTAAAAAGTAAAGATGTCACTTTAAGGACTAAGGTGCTCCTGACCCAAGCCATGGTATTTTCAATCGCCTCATATGCGTGTGAAAGCTGAACAATGAATAAAGAAGACCAAAGAAGAATCGATGCCTTTGAATTGTGGTGCTGGCAAAGAATATTGAGTATGCCATGGGCTGCCAGAAGAACGAATAAATTCATCTTGAAAGTAGTACAGCCAGAACGCTCATTGGAAGCAAGGATGGCGAGACTTCATCTCACATACTTTGGAAAAGTTATCAGGAGGGATCAGTCCCTGGAGAAGGACATCATGCTTGGTGAAGTAGAGGGTCAGTGAAAAAAGGGAAGACCCTCAATGAGATGGATGGACACAGTGGCTGCAACAGTGGGCTCAAGCGTAACGATGATTAAGATGGCGGCACAGGACCAGGCAGTGTCTCATTCTGTTGTACATAGGGTCGCTGTGAGTTGGAATCGA